TATTATTGTTATTGTATTTCCCCACGAACTGCCTTAGAGAAGGGTATAGTTTCTTAAAGAAAAAAAGGAAGCTATACTTACCTCTTGGACACCGCATATATCTATGAAAGGATTTCCTGTGCCATGTCGTCGTTATAGAGTAAATTAAGAAGGCTTTACTCTGTAACAATATATTAACCTGCCATTTCATATTCGTATCTTATGCCACCTTTTGGGGTGCTGCCATTCTACAGATGTTTCTTAAACACCAATCTTCCTAATTAGGCACCTATTATATACTTCTTGCTCTTATCTGGTTTACAACAACTCTGATAACCTTATTCAGACCAATTTTTTACCCAGATTCTTTATCGGTCCCTCTTTTACTTCTAGCCGGCAACCTGAAAGGGTTGGTCTGCCCAGGCTTTAGGTACCTGAAGGATGCCCTCCTCTTGGTCCATACTTTCGAAGTGTATGTCCTTTTTCTTCGGTGTGACAACCCAGCGGTTCGGCTAGTGTGACTGAAGTTACAAATTAGATCCAACCGATAAGCATTAGCCGTCAACCGGACACAGGCCTATTTTTCAAATATTGTCATTCATGGGATTTGAACTCTAGACTTGCCACTTAGAGAGAGTAATGACTAGACCACTACACTAAGTCACTACACCTCCCTAAAGAAGATTCTATATTTATTTTATTTTAAAATTATATTTAAAAATTTTATAAGTTTATTCTTGTACATTATTGCATGGGTTTGCAACTAGTTTTTTAAATATAAATAATATAAATTATCTTAAAAAACTAGTATTTGTTTGAATTACAATCCGAGATAGAACTTTGGTTGAGATATAATATTTGTTTTACAACAATTTGAAGTACTATATAATGACTTGGATATATATACAAAAAGTAATTTTTATATATTTATATAAATTTTTATTTGAAAATTTATTAATTTATCTTTGTCTATAAAATACAGATATAATTTATAAAAAAATTTAATACAAAATTTAAAAAAAAATTAAATTGAATTAAAGTTAAGATAAGCTTAGATTAAAGATTAGAATTAGAAGTAATTTATACTAAAATTTTGTATAGATTTTTTTTTGTTAAAACTTGAAAGTGGTTTTATAAACAAAATTTTGAGTTATTAATATATCTGTATTTCATATATAGATATACAAATAGTAATTGTCTTTTTATTTTATAAACTTTTATCAATTTTATAAAAGGCATTTTTATATTAATAGCTTCTGATTTAGGTTCTTTTAGTTAATAATATTCAATTTAGAATCTTTTTCACTATTAATTCCTGAATCAGTTATAGTCACTTCAGACAAGTTAGATAATTTAAAAATATTTGTTATGGATGATAAAGATTCTAGAGAATTTTTAATTATTAAATCTACTATAAGCTTTGATTTTGTTGATTATAATTTTTAATATATTTTTAGTTGAATTTTTAGTTTGATCAATAAATTTCTAATCATATATAACTTTTTTTAATATTAGTATCTATTTGTATAATATATTTATTATAAAAGCTAATTTAATTTTATATTTCTTATCAAGTTTTATTAATTGACAATAAAAGTGCATCCCAATAATATTATGACTTAAACTATAACTAGTTATGGCAATAATTAGAATGATTTACCTATATTTCTACTTGACAAGAACAGTCTTTTCTATAAACTTTTATACAAATTAAACATACCAAGCATATTGGGAATAATGAAAACAGCTATAAAAAAATAAATAAAATAATAATTTAAAAAAATAAATAAAACTAATGATTTAAAAAATATAAATAAAAACAATAAAAGAAAACTAATAATTAAAAACATTATATTAAGTTAAAAAAATATAAGCTAAAAAACATTAAGTTAAAAAAACAATTATTTTTTTTATTTTTTATTATTATTTTAATAGTTTGTTTTCTTTACATTATTTATTTATTGTTTTTTTTTTGTTTATATATTGTTATGCAATATATAGTAGCAATAAAGTTATTCTTTACTAAATCTGTGAAAATTATACTTTTTAAATATTTTTACAAATTTTTGGCAAAAAATCTGCAAAAATTTAAATTTTAAAAATCTTTGCAATTTTTTAAACAAAATTTTGTACTTATTTGATAAATTTGAAAATTATTACAGATTATTAATATTTTTATTTCCTTGATAAAGACATGTACTATTCTGTTAAATTTACTTCAAGGATAGTTAAATGTTCTAAGTTAGCTAGTAAATGTAGTGGTGTTAACTCATATTAAATAGAATTAGGCTAAATATGTTGTAACTAGAAAGTTTAAATAGATAATTCTATAGTTGGGTTGCAGATATGACAAATAGTATAAACCCTTAGTATAGTATTAATGCTTCGAGCAAACTACTTAAATTAGGTATCAAAAGTACATGTATAGCTTGATATACTTTTGTTATAATATATAGTATTTAAACTTAATAAAATCTTGCTAACCAAAAGAGTCATCTTAAAATTAAAAAATAATAATAATATAAATTGAATATAAGATTCTGATTTTAATTTTATAAAGTTTTTAAAGGTTCTAAATATTTTTATTTAAAATACTTTATTCTGTTTACTTAGTATATTTTTAAGATATAGCAATACTAGTAATGATTACTAGTGGTAATAAATAGCAAATCTTATAAAAATATTATAAAATTATAATATATAAAAATCCTTTATTTTAAGCTAATTTAAACTACAATAACTTAACTATTTATAAATTTGCTTAAATTAGTTTAAATAGCAATTTTTATATAGTATATAGTATTATAATTTTATATATTATAATTTTATATATGGGGAGATACTAGTAAAAAACAAGCAAATTGTTTTTAGTGAGTTTTTTTAAAATTTTAAATCAAAACATTTCAACTACTATTAAACTAAACTTGATAAAAATTTTTTTATTTTAATTTTATGATTGCATAAAATTAAAATAAAAACATTTTTATCAAGTTTGGTTTAATAGTTGTTAAAATATTTTATTTCAAAGTTTTAAAAAAATTTACTCAGAAATAATTTGCTTGTTTTCTACTAGCACCTCCCTATATACTAAAGATTAACTATTTTTTTATATAGATAAATTTTTTTAAATATATTATTATTATTATTATTTATAACTTCGGCAATCATGCCAATACTTTATTAGGTATAAAACTCACATATATATTTCATATCTATTTTATGAGTGAGCTAACTTTAACACTGGGCTAAACATGTTACTCCTAAAATTACAAGTATTGACTTACCCGGCTCTTTGTGACAAGAGTCTTATACGACATTTAAATATAATATTATAAAACTAGAACTAGATAATATATTTATAAAAAATATATATTAAAAACTTTGCTTTTATAAATACACTTTTCTAAATCAAAATTAAGTAATATACTTACAAAAATCAAATACTGTATATATTTATCTCTAATATTAACCCTTATTTTTAATCTATAAAGCATTTTAACTCTAAATTTTACTAGTAATTTAGTATTATATATTGATATATTAATATATACTGTATTTAATTTATTGTAATTAGCAATATTGGCTAAAAATTTTAATTGATATTTATAAATATGCATTATACAAATTAATATACTGTAAATTAATTCATAGCCAAATTTAAAATATTTTATAAGTTTTGTATGTATAGTATACAGTATATGTTTTATAATACTGTGAATAAAACAAAAAAATACAAATTTTTTATAACTATGCCAAGAATAACTATATCGAGACTAAACTATATTGTTAAGAAATAGTTTAATTTAAATATGCTAAGTTTAAATTAAATAAAGCTGTATAGTAAGCTAAATAGTTGCATTCTTGCTGATAGCTTGAAATATTTATTTGATTTACTTTTGTTTCGTCATTTTAAATTATATATTAGTATATGCAAAAAAAATAATAAAAATTATTCAAATTTTTTGTAAAGCAAATTCTAATTCTAAATTTACTAATTGCAATCAAAATAATCAAAATAATAAATACATATTTTTCTATTAACACATACTTTATTTTATTCAAGGAATTAACGTACAATCTTGAAAATTTTTAATTAATGGTTCTTTTTGTTTTCATCCGCTTCTGCACTCTTCAAAAATTCCTGAATAAAGGCTTCCTCATCTACGGAAGAGGCATTGATCGGTGGTGAATCAACAAGAGGATTAGGTTGTTTGGATTTGACTCTTTTAATTGCAGCGTAGACACCAATACCGATAGTTGACAATGTCGCGAGCGCAAGCTACCATGATAATTGAATATTAAGTTTGTAAAGGTTAAATAAATAGTATGCGCAAAAGAAGCCAATTAGTAATTGAATGTTTGATTACGAATATTATAAGATATAAGAAGTCGAAGCATCCATTGAAGGTTAGTTCATTGGAAACAATGACTAATTAGAACAATTCCATTCCAATAATATATGTCTTACGTATTCAGACCCGATCTTGCGACCGGCAATCATGTAAACTGCTCCTCCTCCCATTACTAACGCAAATGTGTGGAATGAACTTTATAGCTAAGTTATTGTTAAAAAAAGGCCAAACATTTATTCGTATGTCGTTGAAAATATAAACTCAAAAGTATAAATTTCTTAGCGTACATATCGAAATTTAAGCGTTTCGGTATTTACGAACGGCAGAAGTATGAAGCAATCCTTTTCGATATTTTCGATATTTTTCTGATTTTCTTCCACGTGAGGTAGGCGAGTGGTTACCAGTGGTTACCAGTGTTTATTTTTCACATGCGCGGATCCAATAAAATTGCTTTATTTTGAAAATCAAGTAATTTGATTGGATCTGCACAGGTGAAAAATATTGTAGGAAACCTCGGAATAGTAGATAGTCAACGAACATACAAGATCTGATAAGTAAATCTGATAGGTGGGCCAAATTTTTTAATCGTGCCACTCGAGGTATTCAGTTCCCCTGTGACATATTGCTATAAGTACTGGTACGTACGTAGTATAGTAAAAGAACTTCACAATGGATTTAAGTGTGGAGGAAAAACTTAGAATTGTTAGCAGTTTCTTGCTTGATAGCCCTCCTGGCGAAGTCAGTGAAGTCTATAGTGGCAAGTTTTGGTTCTGCGTTCTCATACCCGGTATTTAAAAACTAGCTAAAATAGCGACTGATAAATCAGCGTGCTACACGCTATTTCATATTCTATAGATGTTAGCGTCTTATTGAATAATAATTCGGTTTTTCAGGAAGGACTCCTGGACGCGTTACGACAATACAATATTGAACAATATGTAACAGTAATTCTTCCAGAACAAGAATCTAAGGTGATCAAAATTTGTCATATATCTTTTTTTTTTAAAGAAAAATAATAACCATTAAATAATTGCAGGTCATATTATCGAAATATGGACAGCTCGAAAACGATCGGTTCTTCGACCCAAAATCACATAAAACATTTAAAGTTGATCATATGAGTCAAGTAAGATTATTTAAAATACGATATATTAACCTATACAAAATAATGCTCAAACTCGATTTTAACGCTAGGATGTAATCGAGGTCGAACCTGAACCTCAAACCCCTGACGAAACAACAGAACCATTAAGGTATTATTTATTCTTGTATTGCAAATTCATTTTTAATAAAAGTAATCAAAATTTTTCGTAGATCTGCAGTTGAAACAGCAATTTCAGAATATGTAGCAGATCATTATCCTAAGGGCGCCTCAGCCACTTACTCTACAGGAGAAACAATAACCATTGCAATCGTGGATGATAAATTCAACCCAAAGAACCTCTGGTGAATGAATTTTCTTTAACAGTTGTGACATGTGGCATTTTTTTTTTTTGGGTTTAATATAGACAAATCTTTGTTATAGGAATGGTAGATGGCGGTCGACTTGGGTCATCTCACCTGAATCCGGTGAAATAAAAGGATCGATCAAAATCAATGTCCACTATTACGAAGATGGAAACGTACAGTTGAATTCTACAAAGGATATTGAAATAACCTCTTCACCAGTGAATTCAGAAGTATATTTTACATCTGAACAGATCATTCGAGTTTAGTAGGTTTAAAATAATTATATAAATCAATTATAATATTCTAAAGGACCTTGCCGCGTCAGCTGCCGCTTATTCTAAATCAATTTGCAAGGCTGAAAACGAATTTCAAAATGCATTGAATGAATCTTATGTTGAATTATCAGAAAACACATTTAAGGGATTGAGACGTGCTCTTCCATTAACGCGTCATAAGATCGATTGGGACAAGGTTCGGAATAATTTCTCGTATACTTAAAAAATTTCATTATATGATCTGACTTTCTCTCTACGCTTTAAAGATCTCCAATTACAAGATTGGCCAGGAGCTTGCGAACAAATCTTAATTTATGATTCTTATTGAGGAGTTTCAACTCTGATATGACGCATGCGTATATAAGATTATTAAATGTGCGTTGTTATAGTATTTCTTGATTTTGACGTAACAAAAGTATTTTTATTTCGAAATCCTTTTTACAAGTATAATAAATCTATATTGCTGAATACTCGGCACATAACAAAAACTACAGTAGTTATAGTATCAATAATGGAAATCATTCCAAGTGAATGGCATTGGCAAAATTTTTTTCAAGATTTTGAAAGATCTTGTTTTGTCTTAGATGTTCTTTAGCAAAAGCTTGTTTGAAAGATTTTTTTTCGAGTCGACGATTCTGTATGAAAAAAAGTAGACTTAATAACGATAGGAAAATTGATAACGATAAAACTAACGGACTTACCCTTCTTTCGGCCTTTACGCTTGCTTTCCTCTGCCTCTTTTCTTCTTTTGATTCAATTTTTGATCTAGGTATGCCTAAGTTTACTAATATATGTAGAATCATAAAAATTAATAATAGTCTAACTTAAATCCTAACCAGCCTTCTAAAAACCAAAAAGTGTACCCAAAAATCTTAAAATTTCATATTAAGATAGTACAAATTCCGGCACCATTTTTAACTAACCTCTTATTTGTCCATTCTCATCTTCTGCAATTTCAACTTGTCTCTCTGAGTCGAGTTTTTCGTTTTCTTGAAATTTCTTACTATCGTCATCAGAGTTATATTCTTGAGTACGTTCAACTGTAGAAAGTCCATCCTGTTTCTCGGTACTTAATTTTTCATGAGGTTTTTCGCGTATTAAGGTCGGATGATTTTCAAGATTTGAATATGTACCTAAATCGGTAATTTATAAAATTGTCGTATAACAGCAAAGAACTAAGAAAGTTGATACTACACGATAGTCACATATATGTGCTTACTCAGAATTGATTGACAATCCCAAGTCTGTCTTTTTGTAAGTGGTTCACTTTCAATCTCAACATACTCTTTATCAGTCTTATTAACTTTGTTAATCATTTCCGATCCTTTTTCATTAAGGCAGACTTGTCCCAGTTCTTGGCGAATTGTCTCTAATTGATCTTGTACGGTATCTCCTAATTTTGGAACAATTTTCCGACCACCAACTTCATATTTATGAAGGAATTCATCAAGAATTTGAGAAAAATCTTGCCGAACTTGAGAGGACGACGTTGATTCGATATCAGAATCATCGTCATCATCCTCCATATATTCCTTTTCGATCTAATTTTAAAAGATAAAAGACAACTAAAAATTAATAAGACAAATTTTTAGTTTATGAATGGAAATATATTATTAGCAACCTTTTCAAATTGATCATCTAATAATCGAAGTTTATCATTTCTGTGCATAATAGAACTTGACATAGAATAGTTTCCGGTAGTTCTTGATCTCATGTCATCACTATACTCATCAATATCTTTTTCTACCCTTTTCTTACTTTTTTGAAACTTTTGAAATTCTGTTTGCCAGTTACTTTCTTCTGTCTCTTCTTCCTCATAGTCCTGTTCTTCGGGTAATTCTTCAGTGTTAAGAGCTGAAAAAAAATCATCATCTAAATCATTTTCTATGTAAGCATCATCATCAAGAGCTTCTAAAGTTTCTCTAAGTCTTGGATCTAGGTCTGGTTGAAATCCTTGTATATCTGATTTAAGGCAGACGCATGTTTAGCAATGTCAAGAAACTTATGCGATGAATATTCAGGATATATAATACCATCAGGAATATAAGATTGGCTAAATAATCCAATCGGCATTTCTTCTCTTGACGGTAATACTTCATTTGGTAACACAATAGTAACTTTTTTATCTTTTCTTGAGGTTCCTGATTCCTTTTTCAGATAAATCAGAAGGATAATAAGCAAAATATTTACGTAATTTTCATAATATCATACTTGGTTTGAAACCATTTCAGTAGGAACAATTGGTTTTAAGAGACAATCACATAAAAAGCTTATCGTCATTACTCAAAATTTTCATCATTTCCAGTAAAACGCATTCACAACTTATAATGACTAATAAAGACAACCTGATGATTCGATACTCTTTGATCTTTGACAAACTCAAGCTGATGATCTTTTTTTTTTTTCTTTATCCTTAGATTGAGCTTCAATAAATATAGCACCTTCCTCTTCTCCAAACGATTTTAAATGTTGGAGATAATCATAGTTCGTGTCATCGAAATATACACCATATAAGGCTGCTTGACCTATACAACTTTCGAAATACAGTTATATATATTAATTTATTATGTATACTTTCTAATTGATGCATTAAATCAATGAAAGGTTATTTAAAACTAACCTTTCGATGTCAGCCTGCTTTTGATTTTGGTCGTCTTTGGTTATGTCATCATTAACTTGATATACTTTTCCCTATACAATACACGCAGCAGATACATTAAAATTATACGCTTGATAAATTTATGTGATTTTCTATTTAATGAAAATAATAGTGCACAAAATCTAAGATTAGAATAGTGACCCTCATAAACTAGGTGGGCGAGGGTCATAGGCAGACTTTTGTATTATTGACTGTTTAAATCAATTTAATTTTACATTATTTATACGGTTTAAAGTACGTTTTGAAAAAAGAAAAGAAGTATATAGAAAGTTTTATTAAGGTTGTAGGACTCTACTATTAAAAATAATCCAAATCCCTTTTTGTTTTAGAGAAGTTAGCATAATAGTAACTTCTTAATGATAGATAGAATTAGATTATCTTCTCTAAAACAAAAAAGGATTTGGATTATTTTCAATAGCAGAGTTCTACAACCCTAATAAAACTTTCTATATACTTTTTTTTGTTTATTCTTAAACCATATAAATAATGTAAAATTAAATTAAAAAAATAGCCAATCATTCAAAAGTCTGCCTAAAGGCCGATTATATGAGAAGCATTAATGTGATTGGCTAATATGCATGATCATTGGACAATTAGATACTGTATATATAACTGTAAATATTTTTACATGGATCTACATATAATCTACACTTTTTTTTTTAATCTAATTTTTTTTCTAAACCTTCTTTTAGCTTTTTGTAGCTTATCAGTTCATTAGCTGGTACTACCTTTATTAACTAGTGTCGTCGTTTGTAATATATGTCATGCGTCACTATCTTATATTTATCAACACCATCGCTTGTAGGTATAGGCATTTTATTTTTTCTACACTTCTTTTGTCAAGACTGTCATATTATTATTGCCAGTATTGGTATCACTAGTATTACATATTACCAATATTATGTGCTGATGTTTTTGTGCATTTTTTTTTGGCAATTATAGCTGTTTTCATAAATTCTAGAGTATCTAAAAACTTGATTGTTTCTTGAAACCTCTTAAATCTCATCAGAATTTTTAAAAACTATATTGCTTTCAAGACAATAAAGTAGTCTCTGAAGTTAGATAATTCGGACATTGTCCGATGTCCATGTCCAAATTACATTCGAATCAATAAATTGTCACCGGACATTGTCCGCGCAATATTTATTGGACACAGACATATTATGGACACAGATATCAGACAATGTCTGAGTTTGTGACCTGCTGACCTGTCACCAAAATCAGGTACATAACATAATTGCAGCTTGACTTACATTGCTCTTTCATTTTATCCTTGTTGTACATCAAAAATCATATCAAAAATACAAAAACAATCAGTATACTAATTAATAGAAGTCTTTATAAATATTTAAAAGCAAATTTTAGTAAACTTACATGGAAGACCAGATTACAAATACTTAAGGATATTTCAGATCACTGTTATACATGATACATTCATGTTGATTTTCATAGTGGTAATATTTTGCTAGACAAACACACTAATGAAAATGCACAATTTTATATAGCAAGTCTAGGATTATCTAAAGGTTGATTAGGTAAACAGCAATTTACACAAGCAGCAGATATTAGAGGTTGGTATTATTATAACAGAAAGGTCAACCAGACAAAGACTTTTTGACAGAAATACTGAAACAATATTAAGGAGAGTCTTTATAAATATTTAAGAATGAATTTTAGTAAACTTATATAGAAGACTAAATTACAAATACTTAAGGATATTTCAGGTGAGTTAGATAATATTCACCATTATGCACGATATTCATGCTGATTTTCATAGTGGTAACATTTGCTAGACCACGCACTAATGAAAGTGTGAAGTCTTATATTGCAGGTCTAGAATTGTCTATAAAAAAAAAAGCGTATTTTTAGTGTCATATTTAATCTGGCAAATAGCAATTTACACAAGCAGCAGATATTATGAGCTTTATATTATCATAGCAGAAATATTAACCGGACAAAGGCCTTTTTTTTGATGAGCACAAAACTGTTTGTAAAGGACTGCACCTAACTCTTCTTCTGGTCTTCTAATCGCTATGTTGAGTTGACAAATCAATGCACAAATTCAGATCCACAAGAACGGTTAGTGCTTAATATATTTATAGTGAAAGTGAAAAGTTAGCTTCAGATGATGAAAGCGAAATCAAAAAAAAAGTTTCAAATGCTAATAAAATTGACATTATCTCCTCAAATCACTCTGAGTATATACAATATTAAACTTACCCTAAATATATAAACTTATTGTTCTTTATTTAATGTTTAGATTATTGAATAATTAATTACTTTAAAATATTTGATAATCTAAACATTAATACATTAAATTTTCGATAAACTTATTCAAATATTTATCATCAATTTTCAATATTTAAAAATTGAGCAAACTAATATTCAATTGATTAGTCTTTGACCGGATCAGGTCTCTATTTGGTAGTTTTGCAGCATACTTAATTTCGGTTAACTCAATCTATATACTGTCCGGTAGATATGATTACCTGGTCCGGTCCGGTCTGAGTGACAACACTAATCGTAGGTACCCCAGAATTTATAAAACAGTTGTAATACAATAATAGTAGTTACTAAACCCAATATAAAATTTAGGCACAAGATCACTACAAATAAGAACTTTACAATTATCATGCAAGAATTCAATATCTATACTATGAAAGCGTAATATCTAACATAAATTTTGTTACCAAATCTAGCTTAAAAAGTCTATTTTTAATGATTGGTAATTCTCACTGTTGGTTCATTTAGCAAACATCGCATTAAATGAAATTTACTAATAAAAAATACACAAATGCTAACTTAAACCTTATATGATGCAGCACCAAATAGGAATTGTGTTACTAAATATTGTTCTTACCAAATATCTGCTGTAATGCATAGGGTTAGGATAGAGTTAGAATAGGTTAGATTAGGATAGGGTTAGAATAGAATTTGAAAGAATAGGTAGAATGTAATTAGAATATTAGAATAGAGTCAGAATAAGATTCAAAAGGATAGGGTTAGAATGAATTTGCAAAGATAGGTTAGATTAGAATTCGAAAGAATAAAGTTAGTATGGGATTCAAAAGGACAAGGTTAGAATGAGATTTGAAAGAATAAGGTCAAAATAGAATTCGAAAGAATAAGGTTAGAATAGGATTTAAATAAGTAGAATGTTTATGAAATCTAAATTGTTAACATTTGTTATTATCTTTATATTTAACTAAATTTTTTTATAAAATTTTTTTTTTTTTTTTTTTTTTTTTTTTTTTTTTTAATTCTTTGACAGTCTTGTCGAAGCTCAAATACAGATTATTACAACTATTAGACTAAAAACAAGGTTTAAAGCTATTCTAATAATTACTAATTTAAAATTGCAAACTCGACATCACCCGGCTACATATTATGCGCCCAGATGCGACTTGTCGCACCAACCTACATGTGAGTCGAAAGACATTTTTAGCTCTATCAAGAACTAAACCAAAATGGGGTTAACTCACTTCAATCCATTTTACAACACCCTCCTCAAACAACTGCTTTACCTCTGCCATTCTCTTAATATTTGCTATAGTAGTTTTGTTATTTTGTTCATTGTTAATCTTGCTTCTCCATATTTTAGACGCAGTACTACTTTCACCATCAAGTATGGTATTCTTCTTACATCTACTATGTTTCATCACAAGAACTATACCATTTGCTTTTTCCCATGCAACTATGGACCTACATCTCTTTTGCCAAATCTTATCACAAAAACTATTTTCAACAATTGTCTTGTACTTCAATATTGCCTTATTTATAACTCTTCTAGATAGTTGCCGATTTAAGAGCTCATCAACTACTTCGTTTGGGATGAAACCTCGGATATAATCTTTTCTTCGCTCAATTTGCTTCTCAACCGTACTACATACCACTATATTTCTAAAAACTTCAATAGAAGCTCTCTTTCTATATACTTTGCCTATTCTCTTCCAAGCAATCAAGCATGCTACATCTTCAATTATGTTCCAGAAAAAAGAAAAGCTAGTACACTCAACTAGATGGTTAGTTGTCTCTATTTCAGCTTCACAACTGATACATAAATCTGCTGGATATAAATCAGGCCTACGTTTCTTCAAAACTGAAAGAGCTGGTAGATTCTCACTTATATATTTGATTCTAAATGCTATACTTCTACTTGTGCTATAGGACTTGCATCTTTTTCTTGTTTCTCTTCTGTTTTGGCGCCATAATGCTTGCCAATCATGACTGGTGTCTTCTTTACTTTCAAATGTTCGTATAGCATAGAACTCCTTTAGTCTGCACCAATTTTAAGACAAAAAAGTGTTTTAGCCACCTTTCTCATAGACAACTCCAATAGTATGTTGTTTAAATGCACTGTGTATAACTTGTGGTAGTTGTTTTCAACAGGTAAAACTGAAATTTGGTCTAACTGTGCTTCTGCTTTTGCCAGATGATCGGCCCTTTCGTTCTATCTCATATTACTATGTGCTTTAACTTTTACTAAATCAAGTGTAATATTCTTCGACTTGCAAATATCAAAATCTTAATCACCAAGTCGACGTTCGGCCTCTTGTTCTACAATCTCATATCAGTTAACACTGCTACATTAGACAAACTTGCTATTGCTGCTGCACTATCGAGCTTAATCACCACTTCACTATTGCATTTAACCATTAAAAGTGATATCCAAATTACTACTAACTCAGCTTTCGTTGATGATGGCCATCTACTAAACTGAATCTTTCCTTCTAACATCATCTTTCTTTTACTACTATCTACCAAAACCCAACCTGCTCCTATTCTACAACCTAAAATATCCTTCATTAATGACCCATCTGTGTAAAAAATATAATTACTACTCTCCTTTCTACAATTAATTTCTACTTGCTATACTAACAAGAACTCCAGTACAACATCAAAACCTTGCTCCATAACCAAACTTTTTTCATACGAATGCACAACTATCGAATTGATTAGTGGTCTCTCACCACTCTTTTCTAAAACTAAATTACCCTCCGACTTAAACCTTTTAACTTCATTTATTAACACTGGTATTCCCTTACTTCTATTTATACCTGACTTAGAAATTGTCCCTAATACTTCTCTCTTGATAACCTTTTGCTAGCATATATCAACTTCAGTTCTCTGATCGAAACTGCATTTATTACATTCTGACAATACATTACTACTATTACTTGTTGGCGTATATTTCTAGTGATTAACTAAAAAATGGGGTTTCATCTTCTTCTTAACTCTACCAACTATTGACTCTGTATTTTTCTTATTTACTATTACCCATTCTCGATGTCTCTTGTCGCTTGATACCTTTCTGCAACAATCTGCATACATAATGTATTTCTTACTGGCAACTTGTATGTACCTAATACTTCTCTGCTTGGCTTACTGCTAATAATCTTGTTTTCGATCGCTCCAAACCACTTTGCTTTTCGTCCTTTAAGAGAATTAGCTCGCAAGGCCCGAAACTTGCTCCACGTTATCATCTTGATAACAGCTTTATTAATTAGCTGATTGATGTAGAACAAGTTAAATCTTCTTATAGTACTGTAGTGTTTGCCGAAAAATTCCTCTCCTAAAACTTCTAAAATCGTAGGGCTTGTTAAAAACACTTGCCACTTCTCTGAGTTTGCACTAACCAAAATTTCCAAGTCATTTGCTTTTAATAGAACTCGGCCTGCTAGATTATTCTTCTATATCTTTCTCAATATCAACTTCTGTGATATGTGCCAAATCTTTTCAATGAGAACTGCTAATGCAAACCTCTTATTCAACCTTATTTGTATTAACTTGCCTATTTGATCATGACTATTCAACC